TGCGACCCGCGTTGTTGCGCCCGCCCCTCGCTCAGCCAGTGAGCGGCCGGTCTGTATGTGGGATCCGAACCCTCGGTGGGAGCACCGCCGCGCTCCCAAGCGGCGCACTGTAGCAGTGCGCCACCGGGCCGGCCCAGATTATTATTTTAATTGTCAATTATATTTCAAGTTTATCAGTTTTTTTCCTATGTGGTGTACACTTTTTGCAACCGATTTATGGAATCTTTTCCCATTTAGGAAATCATGAAGATTTTACTCTGAATTTTTAGCCTGAAAATTTTAGAAGTGGATCTTTAATCCACCAGCATTTGATTTTGCATACAAAGTGATACAGGAAATCATCCAGTAAAATTAAAAGCTGTAAATCCCCAAGGAGAAAGCAGAGCTGTCACTATTTCTAAGAAACCCAAGACAATTAATTGGGGATCCGAACCCTCGGACGGGAGCGCCGCCGCGCTTCCCAAGCGGCGCACTATCCAGTGCGCCACCGGGCCGGCCCCATAGAAGTGGATCTTTAATCCACCAGCATTTGATTTTGCATACAAAGTGATACAGGAAATCATCCAGTAAAATTAAAAGCTGTAAATCCCCAAGGAGAAAGCAGAGCTGTCACTATTTCTAAGAAACCCAAGACAATTAATTGAAAAACTACCAGAATGCATAAGTGTTTAGTAGAGTGCCTGGATTCCAAATAAATATACTAAAATAAATTGCTTTTTTTTAATGTACCAGCCATAACTAATTAGTAAGTGTAATGGGAAAAAGATCAGATTCACACAACAAAAAATAAAAAGTACCAAATAATCTCATCAAGAAGAGTGTAGAAACTAATGAAGAATTGGAGGGATTTGTGCTGTGCTCCTCTTAGAAAAGGCTAAAGAGTGTAAAAGTGCCAGTTCTTCTCAAATTAATTTGTAGGTTTAATTCAATTCTAATAAAAACTCTAATTGAATTTTTTAAAAGGGACTTTATACTGTTATTCCAAAGGATGTCTCAAAAAATAAGCAGGAGAGAGACCTAAGACAACTGTGAAAAAGAAGTGTAATGTTGGAAGACTTGTCCCTCCGGATATTAAAATCTATTATAAAACACCAGTAATTACAACTCAGTCTTGCTGGTCTGAGAACTGATAGCTTGAAAGGTGGAGTAAAATGGATAGCTCTTTAGTATAAATGAAAAACAAATATATGATCAAGATCTCATTGCAAATGAGCTGTTTACTATATTAAATTCCAGCTGAATCAAAGATACTTTTTTCTAATAAAGTATTAGCAGAAAATATAGATGAACATATAGTTGTATCACTGGATGGATAATAACATTCTAAGCATGAAAACAGAAATTCCAAAAGAAAAAATTGATTTAAATTGCCTAAAAATATGGATTTTGTTATATACATAAGCAGTGGTTAAATTGTGGTTCTTTTATATGTTTGATACATTTCTGCAGGGCAAGTTGGCAATAATGTGTACACTAATTTTTCAAAACTGTCACTTCCAGGAATTTATCCTAAGGAAATAGACTAGTGCAGAAAGATTTATGTATAAGGATATTAGTCATGCTGTTTATAATATCAAATAATTAGAAACCTAAATGTTCATAAACAGATGTATCATTATATAAATTATAGTCAATTAAGCCATAAAAAATAATAATGTAGATATATGGTTCTTAATTTTTTGGACATCATTGGGCCTTTTAAGAATCTGAGGAAGCTCTAAAATTGATGTTTTTGGTATCTGGTTGATATGGGAAGATGTCCGTTATATATTGTTAAAAAGCTATATGTATAATGATTTTTAAAAATTGTCTTGCATAGAAAAAAAGCCTGATTAATATACACCAAAACATTAATGATAATTATCTCTAAGTAGTCTCCATTATCTTCTTTAGTCTTCCTGTATTTTTATAACCAGAAAAATTAAAAGATGCTTTTAAAGATAAAAGAAAGGAATATTTGGAAAATAACAAAAAATTAATATGAGGAAATAAGTTAGGGAATTATTTGTTGTATATGTCACATACAAATAATAGCCTTTACATGTAAAGGTAACACTAATTCCCAGTAGGAACAAAAGAATAGACAAAGTCTGTGAAGGGATAGTTCATCAAAGAAGTAACTCCAGCAGCCAATTAAAAGATAGGAAAAGATTCGGCTCCACTAGTAATCAAATAAGTGAAACATGGACAAGATTTTTTTTTTACCCCATCAAATCAGCCAAGGTTTTAAAAATGTATGGTGCTCACTGTTGATAACAGTGCACCGAGATGGACATGCTCATGTATTATTCATGGGAAAGCAATTTGACAATAATATCAGGAGCCTTAAATTAAGTTTTTCACTTTTGCCATCGTACTTTGATTTTTCATAAAGTCTAGTCTAAGGAAATAACCAAATGTTGGCAAAGTCATCTTTTAAAAATTTTTGCTTTTAATACCATTACTAAGGTATAAATGCCATGCAATAAGGTGCACATAAAGTGTTCAATTTGATAAGAATCGAGATAGTGAACATGTCCATCACCCCCCAGTCCCCACATCCCTCCTGCCTCCTCCTACTCTCCCATCCCGAGGCAACCACTGATGTCCTGCATGTCACTATGGGTTAGTTCACATTTTTTAGTTTTACATAAATGTGGAATCATTTGGTATATGCTCTTTTTTTTTGAGGTCTGGTTTTCTTTTACTCAACATGTTTTAGGATTCATGCATGTTGTTTTGTGTATCAATAGTTTACTCTTTTTAGTGCTGAGTAATGTCCCATTGTATGAGAATACCACAGCATTTTTATCCATTCACCTGTTAATAGACATTTGCCAATCCATCCTTTTTAGGGAAAATCGAAGCCCCCTAAATCTGCAGAAATAGAGGAATGGTTCAGTTATGCTATTGCCACATAATGAAAGATAGCCATTAAAAGTCATGTTTTAGAAAGCTTTTTAATAACTTAGTTTTGTACAATATAATATTTATTGGAGTAAAACAGGATATAACACTTTTTATTTAAAAGATATACCATACACATTAAGAAAAGAGTGACAGGAAAAAATAGATTAGTAAGATTACTAACATTTTTATTTTCCATATAATGTTTATCTTTATCATTAGGCAAAATAAATAAATGCCCCTTAAAATAAAATAACTACGCTAAACATTCAATTACCATACAATCTAGCTTTTGAGTCCTAAGCGATTGCCTCAGAAAAATGAAAACTTATGTCATCACAAAAACCTGTACACAAATGTTCCCAGTTTTATTTGTAGTAGCCCAAAATTAGAATCAACCCAGATGTTCGTCAAGAGATGAGTGATTGAACTATGGTATGTACATAACATGGAATACTACTCTGCAGTGAAAAGGAATGAACTACTGATACAGACAGCAGCTTAGATGAATCTCCAGAGAGTGACACTGAGTGAAAAAAGCCCGTTCCAAAAGGTTATACCCAGTACAATTTATATAACATTTATATAACATCTTTGAAATGAAACATTTTAGAACTGCTGGATGGTTAGTGACTGCCAGGGGTTCAGGATTTGGGAAAGTGGGGGGAAGGTGAGTGTGATGCTAAAAGGGCCATAGAAGGATCCTGGTGGTGTTGGAGCAGTTCAGTATCTTGAGTGTGGAGATGAATATAGGAAAACCTACCCAGGAGGTGAAATTGTATAGGATCCACACACAAGTACAGTGGAACATTTTAGAACTGCTGGATGGTTAGTGACTGCCAGGGGTTCAGGATTTGGGAAAGTGGGGGGAAAGTGAGTGTGATGCTAAAAGGGCCATAGAAGGATCCTGGTGGTGTTGGAGCAGTTCAGTGTCTTGAGTGTGGAGATGAATATAGGAAAACCTACCCAGGAGGTGAAATTGTATAGGATCCACACACAAGTACAGTGGAACAGGGGAAATCGGAATAAGATCATTGTAACAAAGTCAGTGTCCTGGTTGTGATATTATGCTGTAGTTTTTCAAAGTGCTGCTGTTTTGGGGAACTGGGTACAGCATACAAGAGCTCTCTCCGTATTATTTCTTGCAGTGGCATGTGAGTATATAGTTATCTCAGTGTAAATTTCAATTTATTTTTTAAAAAGGCAAGAAAAGAAAGGATTGTGTCTTGGGGCCATGGCTGGATGTGGCTTGCCTGGAAGCCTGGGCTCTGTCACAGCCCACCTCATTCCCTCACTTGCTTCCGTAGCACGTGCAGCACATCCGCATCGATGGTGCCACCTCCTCAGCAGACCGAGAGGACCTGTGCCAGCAGTTCCAGCTGTCCGAGGGGCACACTGTGGCAGTCCTGTCCATCACTGCCGCCAACATGGGCCTCACCTTCTCCTCGGCTGACCTGGTGGTGTTTGCTGAGCTGTTTTGGAACCCAGGGGTAAGGGACACAGAAGACCTGAATTCCCTGCACAGGCTTGTGGCTGGGGGAAGGAAGGAGCGAGAGCCAGTGGGGAAGACAGGGTTTCTCTGAGCTTTCCCTAGGGCTGGTTTCATTTATTGTATTCCTTGTACTGTCCACATGTCAGTTTTCACTTCTTTTTTGCACTAGCACATCTATTGGCTAGTGTTTAGGTCTTCACAGCCACCTGTAGGATTATCATCTCCAGTCTTCCCAGGGCAAAATGTTAGTTTTAGAGGGCTAGAAGGAGTCTTAGACTCCATCTCTCACATGAGGAAACTGGGGCACAGGTAGCTCGTGTGATGCCCAGGACTGCATGGCTGGAACTTCAGGGGAGCAGTGGCAACCCCAAGTTGCAGCCCAGGCTTCCAGCTTTCAGCCTGTGCCCCTGTTAATAACCCTCACTGTGAGCTGCTTTAGCCAACAGGGCCTGAAACAGGCCAGCAGTGGGTGTTCCCCGAGCATCATCATCGTGCCCCCTGGTGTTACCTCATCAACTGAGGGCTGTGACAACAGATGGAAGGCATTGTTCTAACTCGTAAAATTTCCTCCTGAGCTCCGGAAAGAAGCCTTTCCCCTCTGATGTTCTGCCGTAGTGTGGCTTTCATTGGCCACACACCAGTGACTCCTGTAATGATGGGTGGACTTCGAGGTTGAAGCCATTTTATGGTAAAAACAATGCTCTTTATTTTAGTTATTTATTAGAGGGCTTAACTACCTCATAGACATACCACCTATCCCCTAGTCCTATCTGGCCTCTCCATTGGACGTGATGGCTTTATGTATGTAGAAGACAAATGTTCTTATCTCACAGAGAGGAGAAACGAAATGTGCAGGTCTCCATCACTTGCTGCTCACCACCAGCCCGAGGGCAGAGCTTAGGCTCACTCTCCATGCGCAGCACCTGGCACAGCCCCAGCACTAAAAGACCACCTACAGACATCCTGCTTCACAGTCTGGTTCCCCAACCAGGGTTTTGTTGGGTTCTGTGTTTTGTTCAGATAGCAGGTTGTTTGTAGGTCTGAGAGACAGTGAAATGTTTGGGGGAAGAAGGGTGGTGGGAGCCTCGGGACCAGGGGCTGCCTGCTGTGGTGGCTGGAGCTGCTTCAGGACTTCCCCTAGCTATTTTTTGATCCCTGGACACACAGGTGCTGATCCAGGCTGAGGACCGGGTGCACCGCATTGGCCAGACAAGCTCCGTGAGCATCCACTACCTCGTGGCAAGAGGCACAGCTGACGACTACCTTTGGTATGGCCTGGATGGGTGGCCGGGCAGTTGGAGTTGAGCAAGTGGACACTGGTGATGTGTTCTCTTTGCTCTCACTGCTTCCTCTTTTGCTGAAGTCTTCTGGGACCCATGTAGGAGCTGACGACTACCTTTGGTATGGCCTGGATGGGTGGCCGGGCAGTTGGAGTTGAGCAAGTGAACACTGGTGATGTGTTCTCTTTGCTCTCACTGCTTCCTCTTTTGCTGAAGTCTTCTGGGACCCATGTAGAAGACCTGTTAGTAAGGCCCTCCTGCGTTCATCATGACTGCATTCAGCCTCCTTCCCTAGTGATCACTGGTGGCTTGTAGGGTGCATGAGGAAATCTTTTAGGAAAAGAGGATGTGGCTCCTTTTTGACTGGTCGGAGACAGGCAGAGGAACTGGTTGTGATGGAATTTAGCTTGTGAAGCACTCTGTTCCTAGCCGTGAAGGCACTTGTTAGGACAGTGACAGCCTCCTTTTACTGTTTTCCGATGTGTGCTGGTATGAGGCCACATCTTACAGTGCTGTGGCTGGACCACAGGGAGAAGGTGGCTCACCCTGGGCCATGTAGTGTAGTGCTTCATGAACGGAGCTGGGGTCATATTTTGAGCCCTGGGAGGTTGGGTCTATTACCTAAGCAAAAATTCCCAAAATGCTTCTTGCCAGTCCCATATCCCCCTTCCTGAGGTTAAGTTTTTTGATTACCTCATTAGTTTCCACTGGGCCTCTCTGTTTCCAGCCTTATGACTAAGGGATCTTACCCCAGCAGTGTGTGGGTCACTCCCACTTCCCTCTGTTTGCTTAGTGGATTTGTTCATTGGGCAGCTCATAACCACCGCATTCAAAACTTTGTTGTAATGAGGCAGCATTTATTTCCTGTAAATCTTCCATTAGAAAGAATTTGAACCTGATGATATTATGAGCCCTAAATTGGAGGTTGTTTTGAAGTTGAGAGGGGGCAAGTATCTCAGGATGGGCGTTTGTACCTTGACAGAGGCAAAGACGTGAAACAGTAAACAAGTCACTGTCCCACAAGAACAAGGGGGTGACCTCATTTTAATCAGTCCACTGGTTCTGTGCAGGTTGTGCTGAGTGCAGTTCATTTTTCTCCAACAGGCCCCTGATTCAAGAGAAGATTAAAGTTCTGGGGGAAGCTGGGCTTTCTGAGACCAATTTCTCAGAAATGACAGAAGCCACTGAGTACCTGTACAAGGTAACGCCAGCACATGGCTCCTCACCCCTGAAGCAGAGGGAGACACTAAGCTGCCTGCCAAACCCCTGGGTCCTACGTGGGAAGGCATGAATCATTCCTGGGGACCCCCCAACCCCAGAGCTGGAAACAATGGGCCAGCAATTATTCTCAGTTCAGTCCACGTGTGCCTCCCTTTATGGGGAATGATGGCATTAACTCCTTCTCATGGATTCTCAAAAAACCAAGACTTCCAAATGCCGCCTCTTCCATCAGGCCATTAGAAACTGACAGAAAACTCCCCTAAGCTGCCTGCCAAACCCCTGGGTCCTACGTGGGAAGGCATGAATCATTCCTGGGGACCCCTCAACCCCAGAGCTGGAAACAATGGGCCAGCAATTATTCTCAGTTCAGTCCACGTGTGCCTCCCTTTATGGGGAATGATGACATTAACTCCTTCTCATGGATTCTCAAAAAACCAAGGCTTCCAAATGCCGCCTCTTCCATCAGGCCATTAGAAACTGACAGAAAACTCCCTGATGAGGATGTCCTAGAGGAGGATATGTGCATGGTTTGGGGGCCGACCTTAATGATCTTTAATATGACTTCCCGCTCCGAAAGGCTGGGATCCTGAAAGGCTGAGAGATGTGGGGTGAAGGTTAATTGAATGACTGGGAGTTCTTATATAACATGCTCCCATGATCTGTTTTCAAGGAACTTCACTTCACTGATGTGGAGGGTTTCTGTTAAGGAATAGTGAGGAAACAGTGGCTACTTAGGTTGAGACCTAAGTATAAAGGGCCTGAAGAGCCAGGGAAGTGGCTTTAGACTCAGTCAGGTACAGGGGATCCCAATGACATAAAAAAAAAAAGAAATCTTATTAAAGATTCTCCTGGGGAAGAAAAAAATCAGCCTGGCAAAGACCCTGGGCTGATTGAAATGGGAAGAAGCCTGTGGCAGGAAGTACCATTGAGCTCTTGCAAATCCTTCCAGGTACCCAGTGATGCGGCCCCAGTAAAGAGCGTGCCTGTGAAGTAGAGAGGAGGGAACTGATGGGAGAAACAAACTTGTGAACCAAGGGCTCAGGAAGCCTGGTGATTTCAAGCAGGGAGACTCTAAGATAGTGGGTAGACTATCAAAAATAGGCTTAATGGGAAGAGAAACTGGTTTGTAGACATGGGATGATGGTTTTGATTTTAAACAAGTTTCATTTTATGGAACTGTGAGGTGTCAGTGGAGATATTGAAAATTACCTCTGGATTGAAAAGTGGTCAGGGTTGGGAGTTTAGACTTAGGAGAGATCAGCAGAGGGGTGATAGCTTTGATTTTAAACAAGTTTCATTTTATGGAACTGTGAGGTGTCAGTGGAGATATTGAAAATTGCCTCTGGATTGAAAAGTGGTCAGGGTTGGGAGTTTAGACTTAGGAGAGATCAGCAGAGGGGTGATAGTCCATTGTGTGTGCAGTTGTAACCACCAGGCATGGTTTTAACATTACACCATTGTCAGCAGTGGACACATGCAGCCAGTGGGCATTTTGATCATCTGTAACTTTAAAGTCATCAGAAACAGGTACAGGTATCTACTTACCAATATGTTAAGTCTGTGTATGTTTTATTAACCATGCTGAAAGTTAGGTTTAAGCCATGGCTGAACACACAGATTTATAGCATAAGTCGAATTATAGCATAAATGACCCTTCAGTAGAGAAAGACTTTGCAGGAAGTGAGATCTTTGGAGCTATTTCAGTACTGAAATACTAATTTGGAAAGTTAGAGGGGAGAAAGCATTTCCAACATAAATTATAATGTGAGAGCAGCAGCTTTGTTGCTCATAGCCATTTCTTTTCTTTTCTTTTTTTCCTAACTAATGAGCTGCAGAGAAGATTAGATGTCAGACATGAAAGCAGTAAGGCTGCTTTCCTGATAAGTAGTTTACTGAGATGGTCTACACTCGCCATCATGTAGCTCCCTGATGTTGTAAAGCATGTGATCTCTCACCATTGTGTTCTCTCACCAGCCAAGTGGAGGGGTCAGTGTTGGAGTCTGGGTTCTTCCTTTTATCTTTTTTCTTTTCTTTCTCTGATGAAGGACCCAAAGCAGCAAAAGATCTATGACCTATTCCAGAAGTCCTTTGAAGAAGACGGAAGTGATACAGAGCTCCTGCAGGCAACAGAATCCTTTGACCCAGGAAGTGCTTCCCAGGACATGGGAGACACCCTGGATGAAAGCACATTGATGGCCAGTTCACCAAAGAAAGGGAGATTTGAATTTTTTGATAACTGGGACAGCTTTACCTCTCCCCTGTAAAAGGTGGTTTTGAAAAAGCATTTAAAAATCATGGAAATAAATGAATAAAATAAGGTATTTTGTTTTTAAAGTCTTTGCTCCTTTTTTTGTAATAGTAGTTAATTCATGTTCTTAAAATAATTAGGTACTTCCTACACAACCCTCAAAATCTAGATTTTGAAAATGTAGGGACTCAGTAAATATTTATAGAATACTTAATATAATTATGTGCCAGGCACTGTCCTAGGTGCTGGCAGTAATTATGCTGAACAAAAGAGAAAAAGTATGTGCCTTTGCAGAGCTGATACAATGGGAGAAGCAATAGTTGTAAGTCCTTTTTCCAATAAAACTATTTATGGACACTGAAAGTTGAATTTTACTAATTTTTGTGCATCACAAATGATTCTTTTGATTTTTTTTTTAACTATTTAAAAATGTGAAACCATTCTTAGCTCACTGGCTGTACAGAAACAGGCAGTGGGCTGGATTTTGCCCACTGTCTGTAGTTTGCCAGCCCCTGGTTTATAGCAGCATGGTCCAATAGCAATATAATGCAAGCCACATATGTGATTTTACCTTTTCTAATAGAACATTTTAAAAAGTAAAAAAGATAAAATTAGTGTATTTTACTTAACCCAATATATTTAATATAATATCATTTCAATATATAAACATTTTTAAAAATTATTAATTAGAAATTTTACATTTTTTTTGGTGCTAAGTCTTTGGAATGCAATGTGTATTTCACCAGACACAAGTGGCATCTCATTGGGACCAGCCACGTTTCAAGTGCTCAGTAGCCACATGTGGCTGGTGGCTCCTGGGTTGGACAGCTCAGGTTTAGGGAGATGAGGGGAGTGGGACATCAGGTGGGGACGAGCAGCTGGTGATGATGTTGAGAGAGCAGGAGCCAGATGACGTCAAGCTCGTAGGTCATGGTGAGGAATTTGGGTTTAATTTTGATCATGAATGGAAGCCACCGAATGGTTTCAAGCAGAGGTTTGAGGTGATCTGATTATATTTTTAGAAGATTTCATACCAGTTTGTGTATAGCAGGTAGACCAGGAAGGATGAGTAGAGGGGATGCTTGTGTAGGGAGCTACTGAGCTGTTGCAGCTGTCCGTGGGGTTGATGCTAGGGTGTGGCTGAGTGTGGGTAGCAGTGTGGAGGAGGTGGGAAGTGGTCAGATTGGGTATACATTTTGAAGGGAGAGCTGAAAGGATTTGCAGGTGAATTGACCATGGGGCATTTGAGGACAAGAGGCTGAGAGCTCAGTGTTTGACTGAGCAGTGGTAAGAGATGAGAAAGAGGTGGAAAGGTAAGTTTGGGGGCAGCACACAATCAAGGGTTTGGTTATGGACTTGTTGAGTTGCAGATGGAGACACCCCCCCCAGCGCCACCTTCCAGGAGGGAAGTGGGCTCAGCAGATGGCCTCCACCTGGCCCCAACTGCAGGGCTGGTCTCGGCCTGCAGAAAGCCACTTTGTCTGAGGTCACACCCTTCCTGGGGTAGCCTGCCTCCATGACTGAGCAAGCCAGGCATAAAGGCCGAGCCTTTTTGTCCCGATGCGGTCCACCTCTGGTGGGCAGCACTCACTGCAGAGCCTTCCTCTTCCCACCCCTCACCCCTCATGCCCCACTGGGTTGTCTGAGGTTCTTGCAGGCCTGCATGGCAATTCACCTTCTCCCCCTGCCTGGCCTGCTTCCTCGCCCTTCCTTTCAAGGTGTTAATCCCTAATACAGATCTTGCACCCCAATCTCTGTCTCAGTGTCTGTTTCTGGAAAATTCAACCTGTGGCAAGATCCAAGTGGAGGTGTTCTGTAGGCAGTTGGATGTGTGAGTCTTCAGCTGTGGATTCTGCCCTCACCATACACAAGCATTTACAGTCATAGGGCTGAACAAGGTCCCCTGGGGGGGTAAGAGTGGCTTCAGAAGAAGAGTACTTCTGACTGACTCCCAGAGCATGCCAATGTTTAGGGCTGGGAAGAGAAGGAGACAGAGCAGGAAAGTAAAAGAAGAAGAAAACCAAACTGCATGTCCAGGAAGCTGATTCTTAAAAGGTATGTCAAAAAGGAAGGAGTTGCTGCTTTAATTGATATTACAGCAAGACAGTGGGCCAGATATAAGTTAGGGTTTAAAGTTAGCCCAATATTCAGAGCAGCAGTAAAAGGTGCCTAATTGTTCTGGTGTGATAGTATGTGGATTTGTTTGTTAGACTTAAATGGTTTTAACTTTTGCACTATTTCCTAGGTGCCAGGTGCCAGGCTAAGCATTGTACGTACATTGACACATTTAACCCCACCTTGGAGGAAGGTGGTGATATTTTCATTGTGCAGATGGAGGCACTGAGCCAAGGAATGTTAGAGATTGCTCAAGCCCAGCAAGGAGGTGGCAGAGTGGCACCTCCAGCCAGGCCACCCACTCCAGCGCCCACTCTTAGGTGTGCTGTTCTGCCACAGGAAGCCCAGCGATACCTTGGCGAGTCTGTTAAGCCGAGTTTGGTACATGGTGCCCTTCCTGAAGGGCTTGGCCCTGGCTGTGAGTCTGTACTGGCCTCTCTGCAGTCCAGCGGCTGGGTCTCTGCTCAATAAACTAGAACAGGAAGACTCTGTAATGCACCATTTCCTTGTCCTTTTTAGTCCCCTTTCCTGGCCTTCCAGGCAGCTCCAGTTGAGAGAGTGAATCTTTGGGGACCACCTTTCCCCCTCGCTGTTGTTCAGGGGTGGGTAGGTTTTCTGACATCCCAGCACAATCTGGACAGAGATCCATGTCCTGTGCAAGGCTCTGGTCTCTGGAAATAACTCAGGACGACCATCTTTCTTCCTTCCTTGGCCAAACCTGGTGATTGTCTACTCTGCTTCCAATTGTTTGCTGCATCGATCCACGACTGCAGCTGCTCCTTGGGGTCGGGGCTGTTCAGGAAACTGAGCACTTGAGTCTAGGTGGCACCGGCTGCTTCTCCGTCTTCCTGAGAAGGATTGTGAAGTGAGCAGTTGGGCCCGCACTCTGCTGGCTTATACTGTCGTGAGGAGTCTGCTGTGGCCCCAGCTCTCCATAAGCAATTAGGCCTTTGGTTTCCTCAAAACCTGCTAAAATGAAAACCCAGAGTCAAAGGCCTGGGAGATGCCTTGCCTGGGCTCTGTTTGGGGCCACCTGAATTGTTTTATACCTTTGTGTTAGTCTGTTTCTGTTGTTTATAACAAAATAGTTGGAACCAGGTACTTTGTAAGAAAACAAAATTTATTACTTACAGTTTCAGAGGCTGGAAGTCCAAAGTCAAGGGAACACATCTGGAGAGGGTCTTGGTGGTGGCAATAGTGATCCAGGGGTCTCACATGGCAGAAAATGGCAGAGTGGAGAGAGAGAGAGTTCCTCACGCATTCTCCTATTAAAGCCTTCCAAACCATGCCCCTGGCCACCATTATTAATCCATTCGTTACTGAATGGTCCTGCAATCTAATCACCTCTTCAAGGCCTCAACTTTCAGTTACCATAATGGGACTTCCCACCCTCAACAGTTACAGTGGGGATTAAGTTTTAGAGGGACATTCAACCCAAGGCAAACTTCTTACTCCTAGCTCTCTATTTTCTAATTTTTGTTAGAGAAACCAGTTTGACATGTTTGTCTATCACAGTGACTTGTGTCTTGTTGGAAGCTTGCAGAGGATGCTTGTTGGTTCTAATCCAAATTTTACTATAATTTTGTCCCAAATAGGCACTTAAATATTTTTCTAACAGCAATTAACAAAGCAATGCTGCAGTTTTAACTAACAATACTTAGTCCCCGTGTGAGTGGCTGCTCCATAAAGCCAGTTACATCACTTCATGGCCGTTGCCCTTGGGGGTTCATAATTCACAATGGATTCAAGATCCATGCAGACACGGAGAAGGACATAGTCACCCATGTACTGGGTGGCCTGCTGGAAGGTGGCCCAATGGGACAGAACCTGTATGAAAAGAGATGCTAAAATGCTACATAAATTTTGCCCATATGATGTGTGCATTGATTTTTGCAATCCTGGGGCCTCATTAATGGAAACGAGACTGTCACTTCATTAGGGAAAAATCTTCGGAATGAGTTTAAGGCCCAGGAAGCAGAAAGGTTTTTGGCTCACAGTCAGATCTTGAGAGATTTCAGAAAAGAGGATTCCTTCCTCACCTGTCCCACTGCCTGCCCATAACCTCTGCTCTATGTCTTTATATCACACAGCTTGAGAGACACTACCAAGCCCTCACACATGAGCCTGTGGACATCTCCAGAGATGCGTCTACCTGCCTGCTGCTCACTCTGCCCCCTACAGAGAAGTTTTGGTGCAGCTGTCCTACGGGCTTCTCTGGACTTGGGTCAAGTTCTGTAGTCACTGGAAGGGCTTGCTCTCGTTCCTTGCAATTTGGCATTCATCCTTGAAACTACCATTTCTCTGTGGTCCTAGAAAGAATGGCCTGTTGAGCCTCCATCTGAGGCCTCTAGTTGAACCTCAGTTTCAGCTGTTTTGGAGAAAAACTCACTCTTTCTTTGAGATGTCCCTGAGGTCCTCCAAAGCAAATTTGATTTATAGCATGTAGCCTATATATTTTACGTTAGACCATCCCAAATGTACCTCTGAAATTTAAGAGCCACCCAGCCATTTCTGTGGGATTCAGTAAAAGATGCTTGGACTTATTTACACAATGAATAATCTTTAGATTTAAGGAAAGATTTCCACACTAACTCCTTTGCTCCCTCATTTTACTGCTCAGTCTAGACCCCAAGAACCATGTTTTCTGAAGTGTGAATTGGAAAGAAGGAAATCTGGGCTCATCTCATCCCATTCCCATCCCCGCCATCAATTTTACCCCTATAGGATTTTACTAAAAATCCCCCTCTGGCCCATGGAGCTTGTCTCTGCCTTCCTCACCAGGGTCACCAAGTGATGTCTTGTTTCCTGAGTGACCCTGGTTGATTTCTGCCTCTAGGGCTGGTGTCAGGAAGCCTCCGAGAAGCAGTGAGAGACCCTGTTAGCCTCCATCCACTTGTGCATGAGCTAATCATGTCTTTTTCCTTCTTGGCTTCAGATGAATGAGCCTTTTCCCAGGTCAGTGGCAGAGCTA